CCTGAGAGCTCTCGAGAGGGCCTGAGAGCCCCCGAAAGAGACGCCCCGAGCCATCTCCGAGAGATCTCTGGGAGCCCCCGAAAGGCCTCTGAGATTTCCCGAGAGGCCTCTGAGAGCGTCCGAGAGGCCTCTGAGATTTCCCGAGACCCTGTCTGAGAGCGCCCGGGAGGCTGGTAGTTCCCGAGTGGCTCCTGAGAGCCCCCGAGAGGCTTCTGAGAACGTTCGGTCATCTTCAGAGAGCTCCGAGTGGGACCCCAGAGAGTTCCCGAGAGGTTTTTTTCTAGGACTTCCCGAGAAGTTTCTGCGCGCGTCCGAGAGGCCTCAGAGAGCCCCCGCGAGGCCTCTGAGCATTCTAGGTGCCGAGAGGCCTTTGGGAAGTCTTTGGAGGTTTCTGGGGGTCTCCGAGGGGGCGCTGGGAGGTTGTGGGGCCGTATCGAAGGTCCTCGGGGCCGTCTTCGAGATTTCTCGGGGGCTTCGTGCGGCGTTTCGACTGCCTCTTGGGCCGTCTTAGAACCGCCATCAGAGTCTGCGGGGCCTTTTTGTCGCTTGCCAGAACGTGCAGGCCCCGTTGCGTAAACAAATACAGTCGGACCGAGGTATAAGATCGAGTGCGGTTCGGGGAGGGTGCCCTTGTGTTCTTCGCGCTTGTTGAATGCTCCTGTCTATCCAGGGGAGGGTACCCTTGGGTGTTCTGTTTGTTTTGGCCAACGGAGGGTCTCATGTTCTTGAGGGGTGTTCTTCTGTCCTAGGTCCGACTGTATCCCGGCAAAGCAACCTAACAGCGATGTGCAGGAGCATATCTGGAAGCATTCCCCTTCAGATCCAGATGGGAAACCAGTTGTAGAATTCTGCTGTTCTCGCAGTCGCAGTCGCATTCGCGATGACAGTCGCAGCGGCGACGGCAGTCGCAGTCACAGCCTCAGCCTCAGCCTGCCTCAGCCTCAGCCTGCCTCAGCCTCAGCCTCAGCCTGCCTCAGCCTCAGCCTCAGCCTGCTTCAGCCTCAGCCTCAGTCTGCCTTCAGCCTCGGCCTCAGCCTCAGCCTGCCTCAGCCTCAGCCTGCATCAGCCTCAGCCTCAGCCTCAGCCTGCCTCAGCATCAGCCTGCCTCAGCCTCAGCCTCAGCCTCAGCCTGCCTCAGCCAGCCTGCCTCAGCCTCAGCCTCAGCCTGCCTCAGCCTCAGCCTCAGCCTCTCTGCCTTCAGCCTCGGCCTCAGCCTCAGCCTGCCTCAGCCTCAGCCTGCATCAGCCTCAGCCTCAGCCTCAGCCTGCCTCAGCATCAGCCTGCCTCAGCCTCAGCCTCAGCCTGCCTCAGCCTCAGCCTCAGCCTGCTTCAGCCTCAGCCTCAGTCTGTCTTCAGCCTCGGCCTCAGCCTCAGCCTGCCTCAGCCTCAGCCTGCATCAGCCTCAGCCTCAGCCTCAGCCTGCCTCAGCATCAGCCTGCCTCAGCCTCAGCCTCAGCCTGCCTCAGCCTCAGCCTCAGCCTGCTTCAGCCTCAGCCTCAGTCTGCCTTCAGCCTCGGCCTCAGCCTCAGCCTGCCTCAGCCTCAGCCTGCATCAGCCTCAGCCTCAGCCTCAGCCTGCCTGCCTCAGCATCAGCCTGCCTCAGCCTCAGCCTCAGCCTGCCTCAGCCTAAGCCTCGCCTCTGCCTCTCAGCATCAGCCGCCTTCAGCCTCGGCCTCAGCCTCAGCCTGCCTCAGCCTCAGCCTGCATCAGCCTCAGCCTCAGCCTCAGCCTGCCTCAGCATCAGCCTGCCTCAGCCTCAGCCTCCTGCCTGCCTCAGCCTCAGCCTGCTTCAGCCTCAGCCTCAGTCTGCCTTCAGCCTCGGCCTCAGCCTCAGCTGCCTCAGCCTCAGCCTCAGCCTGCCAGCCTCAGCCTGCCTCAGCCTCAGCCTTGCCTGCCTCAGCCTGAGCCTCAGCCTGCCTCAGCCTCAGCCTTCAGCCTCGCTCAGCCTCAGCCTCAGTCTGCCTTCAGCCTCGGCCTCAGCCTCAGCCTGCCTCAGCCTCAGCCTGCATCAGCCTCAGCCTCAGCCTCAGCCTGCCTCAGCATCAGCCTGCCTCAGCCTCAGCTTCATGCTGCCTCAGCCTCAGCCTCAGCCTGCTTCAGCCTCTGCCTCAGTCTGCTCTCAGCCTCGGCCTCAGCCTCAGCCTGCCTCAGCCTCAGTCTGCCTTTAGCCTCAGCCTCAGCCTCAGCCTGCCTCAGCATCAGCCTCCTTCAGCCTCAGCCTCAGCCTGCCTCAGCCTCAGCCTGCTTCAGCCTCAGCCTCAGTCTGCCTTCAGCCTCGGCCGCAGCCTCAGCCTGCCTCCTCAGCCTCAGCCTGCATCAGCCTCAGCCTCAGCCTCAGCCTGCCTCAGCATCAGCCTGCCTCAGCCTCAGCTTCAGCCTCGGCCTCAGCCTCAGCCTCAGCCTCAATATGCCTTCAGCCTCGGCCTCAGCCTCAGCCTGCCTCAGCCTCAGCCTGCATCAGCCTCAGCCTCAGCCTCAGCCTGCCCCAGCGTCAGCCTGC